ATGCCAAGTCAATTCCTCGATCGACAAAATGAATGTACAAATTAGACACACATGTCTTCTTACATCAAAATACAACATTGTTCCGAATAGGTCAATCACTCCTCCTTGTGATATTAAGTGTTATTTAACAGTGTCGCTGATGGTCGCTTAGGTTTTTAAACAATAACGTACATAATTTACACATTTAAGGTCGTCTTTTATTGCAATTAAAGCATGTAAATATTTCTCCAATGAGTATCCCCTTTGCACGAGAACATTTCCCGGAATCATGAAACCAGTCGGGGCATTTAGAGCACTTGATCCATTCGAACTGCGATTGTAAATACGAATAATAGTTAACACCGCATGCCTTGCAAATATTTACAGTGTCTGTTCTTTTTATCGGGCCTTTCCTTTTCTTCGCGGAAACCATTGTGTCTGAAGACTTTGAACTTGTTGATGGGGTTACTAAAGGCCGACGCTTCAATGTGGTTGAAAGAGTGGAAACGTCGGAGGGCGTCGATGCTTTACTTGACGTACTGGGTGTCGGGTGTGCTCGTCGTGTGGTCCGTTTTGGTTTTAAAGATGGTTGCTCGGTGACCACCTTAGCTGCCTGCTGAGTCTTCCTAACGGTTATAAGGTTGTTCCTTTGCCAACCACAGGGTGAGGATGACGTATCTGTTCTGCATGCGTCACAATAGCACGATAATTCTCGCGTTTCAACAATATTATCGGAAAACCCTCTCACACCATTGATTCGAAGAGGTACCTGGTACTGGTTTAAGTCCAGTCGCCCTATCTTCAATGTTTTAATAATGCGTTCTTGGATTTCTTGGATTTTCATTTGTGTCCTGGCAGTTTCACTTTGAGACTCTGAGCGTTCCCTTCAGTCTGGCGTGTTTTGATTGTTTTTCTATACACTTGGCGTATGCGTGCCCTGTATTCCCGGGATGCCTTGTCGTTCTTTTCTCTGATCCGTTGAAGAACTTCAGCAGACAGGTTATTCCTCGGTGTATACGATGCTCGCTGTCGCAATCGTTCTTGCTCTAAGTAGCCTTTGGTATTTTTCTTTTTCTTTCTCTCCCTGTAAGCCTACTGTAGTCTTAGGGAACGACGACACTTCTTGGCGTTGGTGTGTGCCATATTCTTATATCATCAGAAAGGTCTGATAAGTAAGACAGATATGTTAATGAGAGTGTGGGAAGTTATGCACATTAATAAAATGTCACAAAACTGATTATCCCAATGAAATATTTATTGTTTTACAATAATGGCAAGAAATACATTTCGTCTAGTGGTACACTGAACGAAACGTTTATAAATTAAGAAATATCGGGGAATGTGCATCTATATTTGTCAGTGATTTTATAAAACTATGAACTGCTCAATCATCCCAATTCTTGTGTCACATTACCATAGCATTTCAAAACAAACAGAATATGCATCATAAGTAAATAACATGATCTGCTTAATAGATTCAATTTTACTTATCACTATACGTTGTAATCACAATGAACAATATGCTCTAAATCCTTAGCTCGGTATCACTGTAAAATGCTACACATACAACAAAATAGTCATTTAATGAATGTAGGTTAATTCAACAAATATATAGCATTCGACTATACATGTGACCTACTTAATATGTGGAATGTATTTTGGAGTCGTATGTGGTGGAGTCGTTGATGGTCGTAAATATCTCAATCTTTACGTGGTCAAAGAATAACATCAATTTTATATTATCAAAATACATTGAGACAAACCGTCAACACCATTACTTAACATTGAAACCTGATTTTGATTGAAAGCAGAGTGCAAAGACAACGTACTTGTAGAGTCGATGATGATTTTGAAAAATAGTACTTTACGTCGAAAAATACGTAACAAGCTAAATATGTTATATTCAAATGTATTTTGAAAATGTTTTACATCCGTTAATAAGGCAATTCATATTTCAAAGAAGTGATGGGGGATTATCATGAATAGTGCAGAGGCTTCTCCACACCGTTGATTTCAAGCATGGTGTCGATGATGGTGCCTTCGAGGGCTACACATACTTAATGTCGATTTTCCAATAGTAAAGTAGCAAATAAATCAATTCCAGCTAACGTACAATCGACACGATGCAGTCTTTATTATGAAATTGTCAATTATCATAACAAAATACGTTCCAGAATATAAAAAAGTTACTGCCAATCAACATAAGGGTGATCGGTTACAAGGCAAAAAATGATAGTTTGGAATGTTCGATGATTGATAATGCGTTCAGCTTTTATAACCCTGAGATAAAAACTAAATGATAATTTGCAGGATTAAGAGACGTTTAATTTGATACCAAATACTCATGGTAGAGCGTATATTAAATAGCGGAATAAAAACATATAGTTATGTAACATAAAATTCGTTATAATGAAAGGAATACGTGGCCTGAGTGATTGTACATGAATGACATTTGTATATTTCAGATTTTCTCGTTTTTTGTGCAATAAGACTGTGACCTCTTGTAATTTGAAGAATTTCAGCCATGTTAATCTTATTGAAAATAACATGGCAGAGAAGTATCCATATATAAGAGGCCACACACTTTATAAGCCAAACTAGAAGCAATCCAAGATATACAAATGTCATTCATGTACAATAGGAACATATTTTTCCATATATTATTGCATGATGATATTGTGATTTCTTATTTTTTAGGTTTTACTGACGCAATTCAACAGTGAAATGGACTAGCTTGTATTCACGAATGCAAGAAACGCCTGTCGGCTACCGGATTAAACTACCTTTGCAATCGTCGGTATTTTAGCGCGGAGATAAATGTTCAATATGACATAAATATTTGATATGACATCGATGAATACTTTCTTATTCTGGTGGAAATGTCTACCAAACTCCCCTCCCTTGTTCCCCTTCCCCCAAGTAACTTGTTAAGCTAAGTTCACACCAACGGCGCTTTGATGGCGCTTTTAAGCGGCGTGCAAAGCATAATCAACTGATGTGAATTTCTGAAAATTGTGAATTAAGCTTATATCGAAAAAGCTAAAAATCCTTTGTTCATGTCACTAAAGGTTCGAAAACGTTATTACATTTTCCAGTTACTTTAGTTACCACAGTTATCCAAGGCTATTTGGGCAAATAAAATCCGTAGTTTGAGTGATCAATTCACGCTCAGCGATACTGCATGGGGGACATGAAAAGTTGTTTATTCTCCAATAAATCCTGCCATCATTTGGTACATCAAAGAACCTGATTATTGACTAGATAAATGATGTCAAAGGTTGTAGGTAGCAATATGTCCATAAAAAGGATTAACTTATTGCTGAAATTGAAAAAGAACAACCCATGCCATCATCAATCTAGCAAATCCAAAATGACTAATGACTCTGTTTAATGGTAACTGAAAAAAGACTGGAAACTTTTATTATATATAGCAACATACTGAACATAATCGATGGTTTCATTTTGGCAATCGAGGTTTTATTACAGATTCTTATATGATAAACCAAACAACTTTTACATTTACCAGTCGCTTATGGTAATTAGCCATACATTTCTAGGTATACGTTTTATCGCAATCGTGTCAAAATATAAATTGTATTGATAAACAGAAAAGAACACAAAAAATCATATACGGGCGCCATTTTTCTAAGGTGTTTCTAAGTGTTGTTTAATCTCTCTAGACTATCTCTCATCAACGGCTTATTGGAGATTGGTTGAACAATGAACGTGTTATTTATAGCTATAATAACCACGTTGATCGATGCTTGGGCGAATTTTAAGGTTTAAATCAGGAAGAGAGAGGTAGAAAGAGGCGTAATCTTGTGGCAAGTTCCTCACCTCCTACGCACTGAATTGTGTTTCGATTCCCCGTCCATTCTCCACACCGATTTTTTATTTTTAACTCATTGATGTATCCCTTTAAAGGAGTACAGGCTACAGTGAAGCTGTAAAGGAAGGACGTTTGTTTATTTCCATATTTCTGAATGTAAGCTCATACTAGATTTTACATACATGTTTATTCCAAGTGTTCTACTATATATTGTATAGATTCATCAGGCAGTTTTCAGTGTATTATTAGCAGAAAATCCCCATCGACCACGTAATCACGTGGTAGGATAGAAGTGGTATAAATACACCCTCTCCAGCTCACAGCAATTGACTAGCTTATATTCACCACTAGCATAGTTCATAGCAAGTGGTGACATCTAATTAATAGATGATTAATCAATTTTATATATGACTTGTAAAATGCCAAAAATCTGAAGTCGCTCTTGTGAGAGGCCCTCTATTGGATGAATGTGTATAAAATGTCAGAGAATATCTCGAAAATGGGACACGATTTAAGAATGAATTATTTTCGAATGTTTCTTAAAAACATATTGAAAGGATTTTTTCATGATATGCTCATGACATATCCCTGTACGCTTTGTTTGTCTTTTTTCTCAAATTGACCCACGGAAATATGCAATACATCAAGTTAAAAAAGTGGTACGAATCATAAAAGCGACGTTGGGTGGTTCACTAGTAATTTTTTGATGGAAAATCTAGAAATATTACCCAAATTAATTTAAGACTATTCAAAAGAAGACATTCAAATCTATATTATGTAAAAAAAATCAAATTGGTCAGAAGCAGGGATAACGCTCAATTAGAGTGATGAACTTCGTTCTCCAAACCGAGAATCATCCTTTGGCCATTCGGCAAACTAACCAATTGGGTAAAATACAAATTATACAGTATTTGTAAATGTCCAAAAAGTGAAAATTGAACATCAAATAGGCAAAATGCAGAATTGAATTTATATAGATAAAGAACCTAAATGAGGTTCAGGATATTGGAATTATCCCGAAGCCAATATAATACATCTGTAAGAGGGCCGCAGGTAATTAATTATTATTATTACCTAAATACTTTTATACTTTGAACGCGTTTAGAGGTTAACTGATTTGTGCTATAGATTCGTGACGTTACAACTACAACCGAACATCGCAAAATGTGTTACACAATGTATAATTGGTTTGGAAAGTTTTACTTTTATTCAATATATCACATTCAAGGTTTTCAAAATATAATATAGAAAAATGTGTGAACAACTGTTTTTGCCATGATAAAAAATACAATAGTCAGGTCTCTTCCCGAGAAAGGTCCCATATTATGCAAGCTTTGGGTTGTTTAATCTTTGATTAATATTAAACTAATCTCATCATCATCCTAATTTCTTTAAATGAGTAGTACGAATTATCTGGCTCACCAATCGATGTTGGCCAGTTCTGCCAAACTATGCATTTAAATCTCTCAACGCATCTGGATGATGGCATATAAGGTCCGAATATATTAGTTATTGAGCAGTCTGAGAACCACCATGCCCCCGACCTCCCTTTGGCACACGATATGAAACCATTAACATCATTATCTTTATCTCTCGTAGAAAACTGACCACCATTATCGTATCTCAAGCCATGACCTGCGGTTCCTGAATAAGTTCCAATACTAAGTCTAAAGTTATCATCCTCTGGTCCTATGCTGAAATGATCATACTCCGCATATTTGGTAACACTACCTTGATCTGGCCAAGTAGTTAGCTCAATACGAAGTGTGTAATTCCCCTTAGTTACAATGGATCTGATATTATTGAGGCCTAAGAAGTATTCTCCGTCTACATGACCAAATCCACTTTTGTAATCAGTCCAATTTCTATTGAAATCGACCGAACCATCAAACCTGTTGGCGATCACCAACGAGCCATTGATACATTGGGCTTCAACTGTGTCTTCTGTTGTTTCAATCTCTACCTTGCCATTAATGCCAGTAATACAGGCTGTATTCCCTTGTCGTTCTGTAGTACCTAAACATAAGTGATGCTTTAATGATTAATTCTCTCAAGAACAGGGTATGGATATGGTATTCTTTTAACATTAGATGGATAACAAGACACTCAGTGATATGTTTCGCATTTTGGATCATGTATTAGATGCCAACCACATAATTTAGCCAGCCTGCCAAAAACCTAATCAGATCTTGAAACTAGTCTGCTCTTGCATCTGTAAAATTTCAAGTTGAACGGAATTTTGATGACAGGATTTATGAAAATATTCAAAATGGTCGATTTATGAAAGAATTCAAAATGGCTGCCATATTATATAGCCAGCATATCCAAATCCTAAACAGATCCTGGCACTAGTCTGCTACATTTTAAGATAAGCGGGTTTCCTGCCCACTCACTGATCAGCACAAGAATATAGGACATAACACGTGCGATAATATGTAAGTGGTTTTGGCTTTTGCAAACATGTCAACCATTTATGAAAATGTGTACACACAAACATTTCTACCAATTAGTATATGTATCATACTCTTGAACAATTATCGATACTATTCCATACTTGACTTTAAATCGAGATATCATCAGATTTCATAAAACGACGTCGATCTGCAATTTTTTTAAAACTTGATATAGTATCCCATGACCATTGATATATACAATAACTAACCATACTACCAGGTCGTAAGCCCCCCTCCCATATGGACGCATCAACTAAACGCAGTCTTGCAAAAATGACTTGAGTGAAATTCGTTCCTATTAGTATGTACGTTGCACATCGTTGGGATGTTCATTCGGAAAGGCTCTAAAGGCCTCGGAAGCATGCGCAAAAATGCGCTTCAGGTCGCATGTTTATGTGCCAAATTGCCAGAATTGACAATTTATCAAATTCGCAAGACTGCTTTTAGTGGATTACTTCATATGTGAGGGAGTCTTATGGAGCGATTTCCAGGTACTGAAATTTTTCTACAATTATCTTTGTTTCACTTGCATTTGAAATCTGAAAATCATAATATTGGTTTTTGAAATGCCAAAAGGTCAAAAAAGCAATCTAGATGGATATGGAGAACTTATTTGATGCATTATCTATTATGTACCTGTAGGTGAAGCCGATGTTACTGGTGTAGCTGATGTATCTGGTGTAGCTGATGTAACCGGTGTAGCTGTTGTAGCTGGTGTAGCTGTTGTAGCTGGTGTAGCTGATGTACCTGACGTTTCTGGTGAAGCCGATGTACCTGGTGTAGCTGATGTCGCTGGTGTAGCTGATGTACCTGGTGTAGCTGATGTACCTGGTGTAGCTGGAGTTCCCGGTGTTGTTGATTCAGATTCTTGAAAGTGCACACAAAACTCGCCTCTACAACCTTTAGCTACCCACAGGGTCCCTGTGCTGTAATCGAAGTCCCATTTGTCAATCATCGTGCATCGTGTTCTAAAATGAATAGCGAACAAAGTATTTTTCCATATATTGTCATCTCTCCCGCTTTCCCCCTCTCTCCAAATGAGAAGGGAGACAACGTCTTGGGGTTATATAGCATCACTTGTTTACGTACAAGTTCTCTTAGACGCGTTTAGCTTAACCTCACTATTAACTGATCCTATAATAAAAACATGATCGTACCTTGATACCTGAGTCTTAAGTGTTACGTCTTCCATAGACATGGATGCCAAGAATGGCTTTTTGTCGAACACAGTACATGTTACGTTCCTCCATCTTTTACTTGAGCAGAAAAAGCAATACTCCCCTAGTAATAAAGTATAAATATCATAGTGATTTTTAAGAACCAATAAGAAAGCGTGGGGTCATCTCTAGTATACAAAACGTTTTGGTTGCCCCTATTTAATAAACATTTCTACATTATGCAATATTTACGACAACACTGCGCCAAAAAATGATGAAATTATGTCAGATCGTCCTTATCAAAACGCCTATTACATGCTCCTGAAACGTCATTTTTATTGTAAAACCTTTCCAATGTGTTTAAAATGTTCGAATGGTTTTCATCATATAAAATCACCATGGAAAGCCGATCTTTTAAATTACGACACAACTCATTCTCACTTTTCTAATGAAAATGAAAATACTTTCTGGAACGCTATATATACGACTAATATCCAGACAACAATCAGAGTTTTTTTATTATGCTTTTAGTCTTTTTGAACTGAATTGAAATGCATTGTCTGATTCCATCGTGTACCGAACAATACGACAATACAATTTGTGAAGAAATGTCAATTTTCTTCCAAAATAATTGTTGGTGCCAAAAATGCTGTATTTCCTTAAATAATACTTTGTTATTTTTCAAATTAAATGCAAATCAAGGTAAACGCTTTTCTAAAACTGAAGTATCGCAAAAATTCATTGAAATCATTGGAACGCGTAATTAAATAATCAAAATATTTAAGTTGAAATTGTTTTGTCTGTAACATTAATATTTCAAGAAGTCCTTCCAACACCAAGTGATTTAGTAAAGAAAAGATTTTATCTAAAATTTCGAGAGGTTTATCATTATAATTTTGATACCGCAGTTTGCATAAGCATTTAATTACGGAACAATGCACAAAAAATTGCAAAGGTATCAATATGTTATGAATTTAATTTTTAATGGCATAAACTTCCGACTAGCTTTGCCCCTCTACAGCTAATCACCTTGATTTTTACGCCAAAAAGTGTCATTTATCCGTGGCCCAAGCTAGAAAAATAATAGAGGTACAAACCCCTTGCAACAAATCGAGAATATCACAAATGTTATTCAAAAACATTTATTTACTGTGCTCGAGATCACAAACAATCTATTCACAATGAGAAAAGGATAGGCATCGATATGGTGAACTGAATTCAACGTTTTTCTCTTATACCAATTATCGAAAACATTCTGTAAAAACACCGTCCTTTATCTAATGATTGGCAACAATTCAATTCAAAAATTATTTGTATATATTTTATATAACTATTTTTGCTAACATTTTTTGTATTTTAGTGCAATTGTTTTTTGTTCCTTTCTGCCAATTCCTGAGAATGAAATAAACTGTCTCTCCGAACCTTGTTTGAACAAAATAGCATGTACAACATTTTCTTAGACCTCTCATTATTATAGTTATACAAAGGAAATTAGGGTTGGTTTAGCAGATAGTATGCAGAAACTTAAAACAAAATCCCCCCAAATAGTTAAGGATTAAGATAAACCTTTAGTTTCATTAACAAGATACTTTTTTTTAAATCAACCAAACTCTCCTTTGTACAATTACATTATTGAGAGACCTAAACACGTTGTGTTTATGCCGTTTTGTTCCAATGATGTTCGGATAAATGTATCATTTCATTCCGAACATATGATACCAATAACAAAAGGAGTGTCTGATGTGTTTTATAAAACGATGTAGAAAAAAGTTTTTATATGTATTTCAAATTTTAATGTTACCATCCAAAAGATGACCATTAAGTTGACGATGTGTTAAATTTTCAGAATGTTTTGATAACGGGTTTAAGAGAAATGCGTGTCCAAAAAGTTCACCATATCGATACCACTCCTTCGACTAAATACAGACTAAAAAATGTGTTATTCCCACTTTTCAAAACTACGCATTGCGTCTTAGCGTACATTGCTCCTACGCCACTGGATGTAATACCAAGAGTACAGTATATAAATATATAATGAAATATTTAAACTAGTATCGTATACATGATTGACTACACTATCATTAGGCGAGGGTCAAACTTTTTCTTACCTCGACTACAACGACCGCCATGTGTCCCGGCTGGGCATAAGCATTTAAAATTCCCGCCGAATGTGTTTATACACACGGCTGCCTCTCCATGACATGGAGCTGAGGAACATGCGTTCTCTACAAACAAATGAAATATATTATAAAATATTATAAATGGAATTGATGCTGTCCCTACTCGAATTGACTAATTCAATTGACAATTTGATCTTATTTAAGTTGGAACTTAGAGGTTAAAGGATTGATTGCGTGTTGAACAATAAATTGTAAATGTTTGGACTTTCTAGCACAAACATAGCCTGCGATACGACATCACTACAAACGGCAAGAACACACTGATCTAAAACTGATAAGAAGAAAACACACTAGTAAATTAGCCAAGGCACGGGAAAAGGGTTTCGATTTTTTCAATATTCTTATTTTTATCTTAAAGATCACAAAGCGACCTTTCAAATGAGCCATGGCTTATGTCTTAAAGATATGCTAAACAGATAAGTAGGTCAGTATTACATAATCATGAAATGAATAAGCCTGAAAATACGATTGGTCAGAATGTACTAAAACCTGTTTGAAACTGAAGAACATTGCATGCAACAACAATCCGGTCAACGATCCCAATAAACCCCAATTCATCATAAACGTTGGTGTTCCTCAAGGTTAAGTTTTGGGTCCCCTACTATTTTCAATATATATTAACGATTTACCTGACAACTTAAACTCCAAAGCTTTCATTTCTGCCGATGATACATCACTTTATGATGCCCCTGACAGAAGCTTTGAAATGCTATTGGACTTAAATCAACCCCTTCAAAAAGATCTGAACAATCTTAAGCATTGGACAACCACTTTGCGGATGCAATTTAAAGCCACAAAAAGTGCTAATCTAACCGTTCATGGTCAAAGAATCTAATTAGAAGCTCAATCATCATTAACCTTAAGAAATGACCAAATACCAATAACAGATACCCTTAGGAAACACTTAGGAATAGTTTTAGATAAACACCTAGATGCCCACATTAGACATAATTTACCATAAAGCATCAGCTCTTAAGCTCCAAGCTCTTGAAAGTCTGCACTATAGAGCAGCCTGCCTAGCTTCAGGTGCTATTCATGGGTCAAATACTGATAAGGTACTTTCTTCTCTAAATTGGAAAAATGTGGCATCGAGAAGAGATGAGCACTTACAAATTTTTAAAGCGCTTTAATGCTTTACCTCCATTCATCTGTGATGTTGTGAGAACTTATAAAACTGTTCACACTAGAAGTCTGAGAGATCAGCCAGATTATCAATACATTACATACTAGTGTCTCAACTAAAAAAATCTACAATTTCGAGTGCCATCTCAGCTTGGAATGGGCTTCCACCAACTATCCGAGTTGGGCAGCCAATCTCAAGATTCAAAAGATCAGTCAGGAAGCAAATGAGCCAGGCATCCTTATCTACATCCAAAATGGAACACACTAGTCCAAGACAAACAGAAATTACGTTCAACAGACTTAGAGCTGGTCTCTTGCTCAATAAGCATTTACATACCCACAATTTTACCACAACTAATGATCCCAAATGTCCATGTGGTGCAGCTCAACAAACTGCTTCTGATTTTCTAATAAAAATATCCACTGCTCACAAATGAAAGGGAATTGCTTCTTGCAGGACTCGACGAACTTGAATTATGTTTGCCCGATTTCAGAAATTTAACACTCTCTAAGAAATCAGATACATTTTTGTATGGGGATACAAACCTTAGTGATGTGATAAATGGCAAAACTATTGAAATCGTGGCTCACTATGTCTCAGCACTAATCTCAGTATTGAACAGCTAGTGAAACATTCTAAAATCCTTTGGGGACCCTCTGGGTGGGAGGGGGGGGGGGGGCAGCATGCATTCAGACTGAATATACTACGTGGTTTTTGTATTGTGTAAATTCCTGACTGTGTTATATTTTTAATTTTTACGATGCCGCTAATGTTATTAAGTTAACAAAGGCATACATCTGTATTTATATCAACATAAAGAGAATATAAATAAATTGAAAATTAAACAACATTGCTACCCAATGATTATTAGTCCATAAAGGCATATTGTATGAACTGTTCCAAAACCACTGAAAATCAGGGTTTCTATGCAAAAATTAATTGAACTACGTCATCACGATAAGTTGATTAAGCATTTTTTAATCAAATTGAGGTTCAAATAACTCTTGATTGGTAGTAAAAGTTTCAAAAAGACACGCATAATGTAAAGGTATGCCTTTTCTGAGATTGAGAGCTATTATGACATATACAGGGTGGGCCACCCCCCCCCCCCCCCCTAGCCGATATTCCTGATAAAAATTCATTTTTTAACATGTACACCAACAATGATATATCATTTTAAAGTTAATTTAATTTGTAACAAAATGATATATAATAGAACAATTTTCAACAATCTTGGCTGAAGATATAACCATTTATGTGACATGGGGGCCAAAAAACACATTTTCAATTTTCATCGATTTTGCGAACAATAGCCTATTTCTACCAAATTTTACTGTTTAGTTAAAAATTGTTACATTCTCATGAGTCTTTCATAATTGGATATAATATATTGTTTTCATTCAGTTTTTGAACCATGCATGCTCAATAAACATGTGTTTGCTTACAAAACAAATTCATTTCTCCTTCAGTCTGTCCAAATATGGCTCAATAGACCCACCCCCGGACTCACCTTCTGATCGGATTATTCGCTAAAGATGCAAAAACCATCTTTCACAATTTCTCCAATATTGAAGATAAGTCACAAAATGGTATATCTTCTCAATTCTAATTAAATTCCATTTCTTTTGGTATGTTACACATGTATGATCTATGCCCCATTTTATATTGTCCACCTTGTATATAACATGATTGATTATGTTTTAACTTACCATTCCCAGGCCATGTACAATTACCAGCATTAGGAACATCTGAAAATAAATGTGACAATTAGCGAAATTGTTCTCAACAGAATGTTTATAGGTTTCCATTCGATGAAATATTTGGATTTGCTTCTCATTTAAAAGCCTCACCTTCACTGCAGTTTTTGCCTTGTTTGTTTGGTGGACAAATGCACTGATAACCACCGTTCCAGGGAATGGAAATACCAGTATTGCAAGGGGAATCTGCAAAACAAGTGCCGACCCTATTATTCAATGTTTGACAATTATAGTAGATAAACTAATTTTATATATACAAAATATACAGGATAGGCCAAGAGACAATACCCACGTTTAAAGATGAATTATTTATATGATATACTGTATCTGAACCCTAGAACCCCTAAGGTAGAAATCGTAACACGATCACCTAAGGAGGGGGGGGGGGGTCCAAAGGACACACCCGTCCCACGTAATTTTTTTATTAGTAGAGCTAGGATGTTCAAATATTTCACACGTATACTTCATTTAATTATCTACAACTTGGTGTTATGACTTTAAGTTGAGTAATTTTATTCTTAAGACAACACGTATGGTAGAATAAGTGCTAGCATAATGATTACATTATAAAAAATAAATATCAAATTAGTAAAGCTAGACTGTTAAAACTTTCCCAAAATAAACTTCATTCAATTATCTACAACTTGGTGTAATAACTTTTACAACTGTGATGATGTAAGATTGTGCGCGTAATTTTATTCTTAAGACAACACATATGGCAGAAATAGTGCTAGCTTTTTCCGATTTTGTCTATTGGAGCTAAATTTGAAGATAATACAATATGCCAATGCAAACTGATGGGGGGGGAAAACTTATTTGAAAAAAGTATGTCATATAATGGATTTTTTTGTCAGCTAGAAAAATCTAAATGACAACACAGTAAACAGCAATTTTTCATTTCATTGAGAGATTCAGAAATGAATCTTTAATCATTAATTAATCTTTAATAATTTATCGTTAATCAGAATTTAAACAATGGATAACGTCAACTTCTTACAGGTTATTAACAGCCAATCTTCAGAGTCAAATAAGGGTTGATGGAATTATTTAAGAAGTCTTATATGATATATGCCATATATTTGAAAGTGTGGACATTTGGGATTCCCTTCAAATTCATCAGTCATGTTTATTTCTGACAGCGAGACAACCGACTGGATATTTTAGGCTACACCAGGCAAACACACTCATGTCGATCTATCAAGACATTTTTTGGCAATATGAGTCATTAAGCCTATATACAACAACAAAAGTGGAATAATGTTTTTTCCCCATTGATTCATAGTATTCAACTTTTTCTGAAGAATCGAACGTCGAATTTTTATAAATATTTTTCTAAATAATTTTGATTTCAAATAGTGCTTTAAATGTAATCATTTATTTCAATCGACTTCCTGCAGGTGAATACGATTAACAGACTCTGAGGTAAAGTTAGTATCAAGTACTACATAAACTAGTCTCTTGTTCATATACCATATAATTGTAACCGGTCGAATTGTACCTGATACAGGTGATTGACTTGCTCCTGTCGTTGTTGGTGGAGTCATCAATTTGCCTATGGAAAATCAAAAATAGGGGTGTATATATAGCTTTCCATGTATATTTGAAAATGATTCAATACCAAACTCCAATCATGCTGTAACTACAGTTTCATTATTCTCCGAACGGAGTGTCTTTTCATACACTCCCCTCCATAAGTTTGGGAACCTTATATAAACTATTGAAATACATGTTAAAGACTCTTAACGTTTGAATTTTTATTTACTAAACTGGCGATGAAATAACTTATAGTATTGATGGAAAAGTAACTTAACTTTATTTCCAATACCTCCAAATTTTCTAAATTTTCCCCTCGATTACATTAGGTCGAAAATTGATGATTTTGATGAATTTTTGAAAATCGTCATTCCCATGTAATCTAATGGGAAATGGAGGGTTCGGGGCAAATCAGAAATCAGGAAATCTTTTCAGTAACAGATTCGGCAAAAAAAATAATATAGAAAATTTAATTGTCTAATTTTTTTTGTACACTAAGTGTTTAGTTTATTTGATGAATATTAAAGTTACAGCGCTTCAAAGTCATTTCTGAAAATAATTTTTCGCCTCCTGTGTTTTTTCAATGGGAGAGGTTTTTGAAAAACGATTTTGACTTGAAAGCCCTATGACTTTGTTGAACCTGAAGAAACATATCAATCTTTGTTAAATAGAGTGAGCTTTTTCAATTGCCTGACTAACTAGTACTTTTTGCAAGGACTCGGATGGATGGATATTCTGTTATATGACTTGCGGCAAACCTACCATCCAATTGGTTAACATGGGAATGTCGATTTTCAAAAAAATCATCAAGTTTATCATCAATTTTCGATTTATTGCAAAATAGGAACAAATTCAGACATTTGAAGGTATTGGAAATAAAGTCAAATTGGGTTTCCATCAATAGTATAAGTATTTTCATCGCAGGTTAAGTAAATAAAAATTCAAAGGTAAAGAGGCTTTAACACGTAGTCCAATGGGGGAGCTAAGATTGCCAAACTTATGGAGGGGAGTGTATCTCCGTTAACATCAATTTTATATGTATGAGAACTAGAATTAATATAAATTAAAAAATTGAACTAAATTGAAAGAAAATAAAACATATACATGAGAATTGTTAAGTAATCAACATTATAGCAACTTAATTTCTTGATCTCCATTCGTTTTCATTTCAAAGTATAATACTTTAATTTGCAATTCAAAGCACGATCTATTTCAGGTTACAGCATTACCTGAGGCTGTGGTCAGAGCGTGAACCACAAACATTATTACAACTGGATTTAAGAGCGCCATCTTTCGATCACACTTTCTTCTATGATTTATCACAAATCTGTAAAAGCAATATAAGTTAGAGTAAGTATGCTTATAATCGTGTTATAAAGCGTGTTAAAAAGAGAATCAGAGATAGCGAGCAGGTTAAACAAAAAAATTTCCCGATATTAGAATATTTTTGGCTCATATCTTTCCTTGTCATGTCTATTTTCTAAAAATCACAAAAGTGCAGACTTTATTCCAGGAAAACTAAATATTTTTACAATAATATATTATTTTTCTATAAGAATGGTTTCCATTCTTATTATTTGGGAGAATTTAAACATTTTCACCCACTTTTGCACTTTGAATCATTAATAAATTCACTAATTGTTTACATGTTGTGTTTGGAGATATTGTATTTGATATTGTAAGGAATAGGTTGGTAGGGCTATTAGACAATTTGCTTGTAATTTTAAAACTTAAATTTTAATTCCTCACAAGTTGAATTCGGAAAGCTTTTTTTGGGACACTGACATCTCAAAACTGGGTCAATATACCATTTGGCGGCAAAATGCTAACACTATAAATATACTCTTGGCTAACTGTATACTAAAAGACTTGTGAAATTGAACAAGTTCAATCTAAGACTCCAGGAATTTCAGATTTTTAAGCCTTTTCAGCCAGATGTTAGACATTCTAAGGCAGTTAGCTTTCATGAATTTTATTTGTATGTAGTCTGTGTATGAAGGTTTAAATTTATACAATTTGTTCTTTTGACTTAACTTTGGGATGTATCGATTTCCAGATTTCAAACAAACACAGAATCTAAATTGGAAATACGATCTACGATTCCAAATTGATGAGCTTATCTATCCAAGCTAACATCAGTCCTGGAAACGGCATTCCCAACTCCAAAATTTCAATAGCAAGTTTTGATCTCATTATATGGTGGTCAAAAAATGCAAACCCTGCGTTTTCCACATATCTCTGTCATTTTTTTAAATTACTCCCTAATATCTTGCACATGCGTACATTTTTCAATTTCCTACCATTGGAACACAACATGCTGCTTTTGGCATGTTAATCAATAGACAAACGTATTTGAAAACCACAATTAAATCATGCTTATATGTATTTATCAGATTGATGCTCAAGAATCTAGCCACGTTTTTGGATTTTCTTGGATGACATTAAACCTAGAATGTCAGATTTTGATGTGTGTTGCTTGGACAGTTTGATTGCTTATGTTTACGTTCGAGTCCGATTCTGAAGTGTGATGATGGTAAATGTTACAGATGGTAGATGGTAAATATAACATCATGTCAAATACAGATTAATATAATTTATAGTGTTCGTTGGGATTTGCCACTCCATGGAGTTGCCGTTTTCTAGTTTGACATAGTTTTGAAGCCAAATCGCCGAGCTCACTTTTGGAACTTTTCCATTTAATACGCCTATCATTATCCCGTTATTCAATTACAAAATTCAAAATATATTTTAACTTCCAAAAATCGCTGCCTATGCTCCGGTTTCATTGATAAATATTCATTTAAGAATGATATAAACCAGATTTAATTAATTGTAGACCATGTTAATTAAATCAAGCTTATATTTATCAGATTGATTAAGAATCTGGTCACGTTTTTTGGATTTGATTGGATGACATTGAACCTAGAATGTCCGATTTTGGTGCGTGTTGCTTGGGCAGTTTGATTGCTTATGTTTACGTTCGAGTCCGATTCTGAAGTGTTTCGTTAAGTTCTGCCGTAAAAAATGATGATATGACAATACGGAAAATATACGACAAAACCGGAATTTAACAATTGAATTTACGACACGGAAAAGTTCAGAATTGCTGTCCGAACTTGCTATAACCCCAATTCTGTAGGCGAATGTTACCATTTTTTTTCATAAAATCGTATGTTTTATTCTATATTTATGTAAACTAAACCGCCACCGTGAAGAACTGAATCAGCCAATCAAATTACATGGAATAATAATTATTTGCGAATAAGGTGTATTTTAAATGCAATGCTCTTAATCAGATTCATCCTAATTGCATCTAAACAACTTCTATGTGTTTTGTGTAATGGGTTGATTTTTCCCAAAAGGTCACTGTATGAAGTTTTATGTCACTACGTCTTATACGTACAATAAAATCCGCAAGATAAATGACAACCATTTGACCAATTAGTCTCCTTAGTTTTACTTAATATTTCATTCTTCAAAGCCCATTGGCATGGTTTTATCTAACTATATTTATTTTGCTTCCCATAACAAAAATATTTAATGATAAAAAACTAACAAACTCATCTACTGATAAATACAATGCTATCAATACTTACGGAAAGTCGAGCCTATTAGTTGCCGTTTCCTATCGACCGCAATGCAAATGTAACTAGATTCAGTTTCTTTCCAGTTTGGTGAATCCCCGGGATGAATTCAACCACAACGTATAATTTAGATAATAAACTTGCCAAATGAATATCTCTTCACCATCGAATTGGAAAATGTGCTATCGCCGAAATCACGACACAATGGCATGGTTGCAACCCCAGGGTGCATCATTGTGCATCAAAGTGCATCATTCCGTATGATTTTTATCTTCTAAACCAAATCCAATTCCTTTCCAAATTCAATGGAATCACTGTGATGGTAATGATAAATGAGCAGTTAGAATTATATATTTAACACTAATGTCTGCAACTTTTATATAACACTAAGTTGCAAGCGGGGAGGGGTCATTTTCTAGAGTATTAAAAACAAGGTAACTATATAATCAATAGTTTATGAATTTCATTTTTATTGGCATCGAATTCAAACTATCATAACTTTTCCGCTCTACCTCCAATCACTTGAGTTTTACGCCAAAATGTTATACATTGGGATCTGGTATCCCAATATTTTCTCATAGATAAAGGCTTCTATCATGTTACTGGGTACAGTAAAAACTAAGGGCTCATATTAAAGCAGCTAGGAGGCCGACGGCACAAAAGCGGTGATTATTAAAAAAAAGTTAGTGGTCTTCCGCGGGACTATATTCTATGACGGCATTCTCAAGAAAAAATTCAGTGTATACATGAAAAGTTGAACGGCTCATGCGCATTCATATTCTTGCATATCTTTGTGATATTTGGTGGGATGGTAGATTATATCTAGATCTATAGAATGAATTAAATTAAATCACACATTGAAAAGAATTGGAGGTAAAAAAATCGCGCCGGCCGATCAACTTCTTTTGGACAAAAAAATCTTATTTTTTCAACATTTTAGCAAAAACTGTAACGATCATACAGTTTTGGATGTTTTTTCCTCAAACTTTCTGTATATTGACTCCCTTATGTGGTTTAATTTATGTGAAAGAATTGGGAATTTATGATCATTTCAATGTAGTTTCCGTAAATCTCAAAGTTAGGTGAGTCACTTTTTAAAAATGGCCATTTTTGAGCTTATGGCGTCATCATAGACGTTCTGGGATAACGTGAACAAGGAATATGATTTGCTTTTGTTTTACAAGTGCGTTCTCAATGAGTCTTAAATTTTCACAATTTGTTGTATTTATTCTTGGGTTTCAAATTATGCAATTTTTAGAAATAAATGTAATGAGGATATACCAAGATATTATCATTTAAATCAGGAAAGCAAATTGACTGCATTCCCTACGACGTGTTTTGCTTTCATTTTTACGCCATTTTTGGTCGCGTAACTCTTTGGCTTAAAACTGTAACAATTTGTCAATTTTTTATAGATCAATCTCAAATTTCACGTGTGGTATCTTCAATATTTTTTAAAATATTGTAGCGATTTTTTTCTAAAATAAAACGTTAATACAAATAATAAAACTTTATTCGAAAATGATGTTTAAAATTTGTGAAAAATATTGATTCCGTTTTGACGTCGGATTTGTCATTTTAAAGTAAAACTTGGTGCCATCACTTTCAACATATGTTTCTCATTATAAAACTGAAGAATGTAGACTTAAATGTATTCACAGCTGAAGATTATATTCTTATTTGGAAAAGTATTTACTTTTGTGATGTTTGATGCTGTATTTTTAGAACAATTGACCATGACATATTGACCTCTTAAACTATACAGAGTGAGAAACCAATATTGTGCCGTTTTATACAAAACAAACAAAGCCCTGTCAAAGTACTTGTCTATTTTGCAATTTAAACAGTATTAATTTGAATAATTTTCTTAATCTAAAACCATTTAATTTAAGAAAAATGGTTTTAATTGTCATGAGAGCCGTTAGAATATAAATAATCAATGACAGGTTCATTGACTTACCCTGTACGTACCCGGAAGTGGAAGGGCAACTAACGTGAGTGCAATTTTGTGGAATTTTGTTTGTTCCGGTGTAAAAGTAATAGTAGTCCCAAGGAAGCACGGTCCTACGGACCGTGCTTCCTGGGTTTATTCATCCTATGGATTGTCAATCCCAGTGTTTATGGTCTCAATAGGACTGTCATTCCTACTGTTATATATTAATAAGACCATGGACTATAATCACCAATGGACTTCTATTCCTTCCACACCAGTGAAAGAATAAAATGTCCCGGACATTTAATCCCAATTTTATTGTCCCGGACTTTTATATCTAGGTCAAAGAGACCGTCATTTTACATATATTAAAAGAGTTATGCATAAATATAAATAAAAGTTGAGTCTGTTCGTCTCACCTTTCTTGGCAAAATCAGTTACGACTTGGTCCAGTGGCCGAGAGAATAGTGGTTCGTTCCTTATGTGAGTCAATTTTTTTTTTAATCTCAATACAGTTAAACACTTTTTTAAGTATCCCAACACCCCTTTTTTAAAGAAAATGTCATATTTAAAAAACTCACATGTTTAGTTAAGCGTGGCCAACCTGGGTATAAATTGTTGCACGTGGTATATGTTATTCCTTTGAAAAGTGGATGCCAAGATGAAAACACAACTGGACATAAATGTTATTTATCAATATGTCAGGCAAAAATCGTATCCACCAGGTACAACAGTGAATGGAAAGAGGGCTATAAGAAGAGCTTCGACAACAAATTTCAAGGTAATGTTAATTTATTCACATTATAAAGTCAATCGTACCCAGATAATAACGTCCGACGCCACAATGAGGACACTTCCTCCTGAAATATGTTCACAAATGTAGTCCTCGAGACTTTTCCCTCGGGTTACGACGTCCGAAAACATACACATGGACAATCTATCCTTGTTTATATCCATTTTTAGTAGTCCTGGACTTTCCCCTCAGATTACAACGTCCAAAAACAACCACGTGGACCTTGTCAATATCATTTTTTATGTCCTGGACTTTTTGACCCAGGTTAAATCGTCCGAAATTTCACATATAACCAATTCATCATTGTAAATGTGGATACATTTTTATTAAGGTAACTCTGTATAATAGAAATTTTGATGCACTCCTCCATAGATCCACATGTTATTTTTCAAATATCGATCACGCCTTCCCAACATTGTCCACATCTTTCAGTTTTGCACAGAGTGCACTAATGTACCTAGAAAAGACTGTCGAGAAGATTTTTTTGATAAAATGTATAAAAACTAGAAAATTCAATGAGAACATTTTCTGAAAATTTTCTGAATTTTCTAACTGAATTTTCTCATTTTTTATACATTTTATCAAAAAATCTTCTCTACAGTCTTTTCTAAATACATTAGTGCACTCTTTGTACAAAACTCAAAGATGTAGACAATGTTGGGAAGGCGTGGTCGATGTTTAAAAAATAACATGTGACTCTATGGAGGTCTGCATAAAAATTTCTATCATACAGAACAACCTTAAATCACATACTTTTCGTATTTTGTTCACGTATGTTGTTATGTTATGTTATGTTATGTTATGTTATGTTGTTCCTCCGTTTTATTGGAGAGAAAAGAATTATTACATCGTACTTTAAATAACGTATATTAGAGATTGAAAAGTTATCAAAGGGTAATTATAACTGCGATAGCACCATACACATTATGGCACATCCACACATTAATGGAGTTTGGGTCTATAGCTGCACCATCCGCATTTCGGTTGTCTCAAACTCCAGGGCCATTCACATTATGGTAGTTTCAGACCCAAACACCGTTCAGATTCAGTAGCTAATATTTTTGTATTCCATTATGCTATTTTCAGATTGAAAGGGGGGTGCTCATGCACAAAGTTTGTACTAAATCTGATGAGTTACATTGGACCAAAGTTCTTGAGAGTGAAGAACATAGAGAGGCAGCAATGGTTGAGTGCCATTCTTCAAGCATAGGTTAGCAATAAATAATGCCATAAACTAATATTGCAATTAACTAATAATGCAATATAAAAGGGGATATTTGAAATGTACATTAATTCGAAAACATTGTAATTTAATGTATACATATTGTAATTAAGGTAGAATAACATGAATATATTTCTGAATATTCACCTCTAATTACACATATTTAATGAAAGATTATCATTTTCACAATCTATGATAATATTTACATGCTATGTCAGGATGCATATTTTATAAAAAAAATTAAGCGATTTTATTACTCCTTATTGGTAAATATATTCCTGTTAATGACATCGAAACTATCACCTTGAATCGCATGCATTAAGCTTTGTGGACTTCAATTTTATTAAATGCAATTTTAAACAGAATTAACATAAATGATGCTACCTGTATTTTCAGGGGGACACTTCGGTCGGGACAAGACCATGGATAAACTACGCAAAAGGTATTGGTGGCCCAATATGACCAAATATGTCTTTGAGTATCTTAAGAAATGTGAACGTTGCCAGAGGGTCAACAAAAAGGGTAAAATGGTTAGCCCTGAGCTGCATCCGATAGCCGTGAAAAAGGCAGTACCATGGAGCTGTGTAAGTATCTACTTAAGCCAGCTCTTTTGTTGGGTTTTAAGATTAAGCCGTACAAGTAATGCTTTGTTTTTGACAAACAGCATAGATTAAGATGCTTTTGTGTTTTTCTCCTTGCATTTTCGTTTTGATTAATGGTACTTGTCTACATACTTAAGAATAGTCTACTCAGACAATGTAAACTTCTTCCCTAAATTAAAATGTTTGGTTTGAAATAGATTAAAAAAACATGAAATCAAACAAATTCTTTACAATATGTTACTTCATTTAGATTGGCATTGACCTTATTGGCCCATTACAAAAAACCCAGAGAAACAATGCGTATATTTGTACTACTACCTGCTATTATTCTAAATGGGCCGAGGCAGCACCCATAGGTGACAAAACAGCGGTGTCGGTAGCGAAAGTTCTTTGCTCAATGTTTCTAAGGTATGCAAACATATTCTAATCTGTCTTATATCAAGTGTATTATTGGTATGATACAAGGTTTGTTGATTAAAGAATAATTAATAAATGTATGGAAAGCGTTATTGATTATTGCTTGAGATCTTGAAAAAATATCCTTTATATATTCGTGTGTGGTATCACGATTGAGCACAGAGAAGGTTATGATGGTGACATCCATGAGGCAATATGCTTGTAATTGATCTTTTTGAAAAACCAGAAGATTGTTCGATTATCCCATTAGAACTTATTACACAGCGAAAATTGAACTATCGGTTCAATTTTAACTAGATTTATTAACATTAATTTTCAGAACAATAAAATATCACCAATAAAATATATTAGCACATTAAAACCATAAAATCTATATCCTTGCAACCATGAGATAATTCCTTGTATCTCATACTTGAGTGGGTATGGGGTAGATATCACATGGGAATATATATCGTATCTGAGGAGCGGGTAGGATGTATTGTATATGTCCCGCTCCAGGCCAAATTCGGGGAGATATAATTAACGTACATATCCATTCCGCTCCCGGGAATTTTTTCAATATAATTGTTCTTTTTTCGTGGGACTTCTTCAGGCCAATTAATCTGAAAAGTCGAGTGAGATTCTGTAAAAATAAAAAAAATGGATAATAGACACGAAAATGAGTGATAAACGTAAGATTCGAAAACCAAATCGATGTTGAGAATTTTCTCTACTGAAAATGAAAACACTTCAAAAACCCTACTCAAGTATGAGATACACCAGTTTTGTACGGTCGGTTTTGGATATAAGGGTTATCCCTCGGGAAATATCCATATCTCCCCTTGGTCCCTTCGGTCCCTCGGGGAGATATAAATATATCCCTCAGGATATACCCTATATCAAAACCTCCCAGGACATAACCCTTATTTATCCCATGATTAATATGTTATCTGTACAATAACAGCTATTGCTATTTCTGATATTATTTAAATCCGTGGGATATTTCCCAGAAAATGGTTTATCAAACTCATAAGCGTGTGATATCATTTATCACACGCATATCCGTGTAATAAAAGAATTGATATCGTTTATTACACGCATATCCGTGTGATAAACGAATTTTATTGATTTTTGATTTTTTTTTAATTCATGATTGTAATCATGGGATAAACCCAATATCAAATCATTTCTCATGATATTATTTCATCGCCCCGTAGATATCAACTCGGTGATAAAAATGATATCACTCAAAATGATGTGATATTCTGTATTTAATCTCTTTCAGACTTGGATTTGCAGAAAAGCTAATATCAGATCAAGGACGCGAATTCAATAACCAGTTGTTGGATTCGATATGCCTTCTTCTGGATGTTGACCACAGAAGGACAACCGCATATCATCCCCAGTGTAATGGATTGACAGGTAAATTCTATTTGATATCGCCATGTATGTGTATTGGTCAACATTAATGGGATACTTATATAAGCGTTCACACTTGTAAATTATTCAAAATTATTATACAGTAAACATTGGAACCATGGTAGCTATAAAATGCGATCAAGTAACTTTTTAACTCCAAACTTTTGATTGAAGGAAACCGTCAGTTTGTCAAAAGAAAATGTTTAATCAAGTGGTTTTGTGAAGGCATTATTTAGAACCTTTCGTTCATCTGTATTGACTAGTCCACGTTTTATACAGGCTCATATGCTTTTATAGACTTCACACTGGCGATATATGTTCATGTTTTTTTCTTTTTTTCAAGAACGGTTCAATCAGACACTGGAAACTATGA